CATTTTCAACTCCTTCCCATTTTTGAGCTCGGTTAAGGCGATTTTTGGGCAATTTTCACAGAAAAATATTGGGGTAAGTATTCCTTATCCTATATTGATTATATTTCATGATTCCATACTCGTTTATATCATGAATCCGTAAATTTACGTAAGAAAAATCAGATTTTTCTAAAATCTTCCAAAAACAAAAATTTAAGATTTGAAGGTCCATTTGGCAACGGAATTGGATAATTTCTGTATGGTTGGACTCGTCTCGGAATGGGTGTTCAGATTTCGTTAGTTTTTCCAAAATTTGAGACGTGGGTCCCACTGCCGAATATTTTAATGAATTTCAAATTTTTATCCGGAAAATTAGTAAATTCATATGAAATTAATTCCTAATATTCGTATTGAATATATCGAATTGTTTATGAATAGATTTGAAGCTTTTGGAGACAAATTTAAAAGGAAAAACTGTGGTTGAATAATTGATTGGAATTTGCAAAGCAAAGTAAGTGTCGTGGTTAACTTTGACTTGAGGGAATAGAACCCTTAAATTATTTGTTATGTGAATTGCATGTAAACGACGTATAGGTGAGGTGACGAGTGTCTATACGTCGTCAAATTAATTGTTTGCCTGCTTACTTGAAAAATCATAAATTGTTTTAAATCATAAATTAATTATCATAATAATTGTTTCTCTCCTATTCTTTGTCAAATATTAATTCTTGAATTCCTTCATTAATTGTTACATGCTATTTGAATTACGTGTTTAATTGTTGTTTGACATTTAGCATATTAAATATTAAACTTCCTATTTTCTCCCTGATTCCCATAATAATTTGCTATTTGTCATTTTTTTTTGTTTCATGATTAAATCATAATTATTGAATGCTTGTTGTCTTATAATTTTATATTAATTGTTACATTTATTGGAAAAATCTCTTCTATAAGAGTTGATAAATGAATATGTTGGAGGAGCGGGTTGCACACCGCAACATGATTGATTATAATGAATATATTGGAGGATAGGGTTGCACGCCGCAACAGAATTATTAAAAGTCTATATTGGAGGATCGGGTTGCACGCCACAACAGACTTATTAAAAGTCCATATTGGAGGATCGGGTTGCACGCCGCAACAGACATATTAAAAGTCCATATTGGAGGATCGGGTTACACACCGCAACAGACTTATTAAAAGTCCATATTGGAGGATCGGGTTGCACGCCGCAACA